AAATATGCAATGAACCCATGATAACCTTTTTTAACATAAGCTACATATAATCCAAGAAACAGGTACTACCTAATATGATGAAATAGGCCATACAACTAATGACGTGTGGCTCAATTCAATGAATTGACAGGCTCCAATACTGCTCAACTCGACTATTATCTGATATAGAAAAAAGTGAAAAGAAATACGAGCTTACAGCTCAGTGAGTGAATAGTTTGCAAATAAGTATACTTTTCCTTTATGCATATTCTCTGAAAATTCTAGCTATATTACAACTTTGAGACATTCTGAAATTTGGTAACACTTTTAAAACTAAACATAATTGCATTATAAAATTCTTTGTTCTTAATTCTAGATAAGCAACTGCAAAGTATAATGACATAAATAATTTGATATCCATGACAAATCTATGAAATATTGCTACTGCTCAACACTATAAGCCGAAAGCTTTATTCTGGAAACTGAATTAATTGAATTCTATAATTTGAAATCCAATAAGCTGTAGAAATACTGAAAAATCACACCAAAAAGGTACCTAATGAATATCCTTACTCATTTACGGAGTAATCTCGATGTAGAAGGCGAAACCATTCAAATATGATAATCTGATATCCATAAGCTGAACTGTGAATGGAGAAATGTAAGCTGAAGGCTAATAATCCACTATATATTTAAAATTCACATCAAAATATACCCCACGTAAACATCTATTAATGATCTAAAAGCTATAAAATTATATGCACATAAACCGTCTTATCAATACTCTGTACACGACCATAGCCCCTCTGTGCACAAGATGGAAACAACATAATCATCCTTATAAATGGCTGTAGCCCCCAGTGTATAATAGGTACTTTTACCTACGGCCATAGCCCCTCGATGGATAAGAGTTACCCTTACACACGGCTGTAACCCCTCAATGTATAGGAGTTAAATACACGACTCTAGTACACGGTCATAACCCCTCAGTGCACTAGAGTAAGCTATAGGCTATGTGTGCGTGTTTTTGGAAGACAAAGTGGTCAAAGGTTGAATATAAAGGCCCACTTACTAAAATTTGCAACGGAAGTCCCTCAACTCCAATTTAATATAACATTTAATCCTTCTAACTTCCCTTAATATAAATGTAAATTCCCAACTTTAAATTATATCCAATTAAACACTCATATATTGCCAATTATAAAATAAATCCCAAATTTTTATTGACTTTGACCTTGACTAGTCAATTTTTGATTTTTGACCAAGAAAAATTGAATTGTAACACCTTTAGTTAATAAGTAAAAAAAACTAAGCCACGTAGCAGAAGCGAAGAGAAATGACTGTCCAACGGGATCTTCGGCCTTCAACTGAACGCCTTTTACATGCATTGAGCACTTTTACATAGCAACTAACGTAAAAATCAAACCCTCACCATATATTAAATGTATACTGCATATATATATATATATACACACACACACACACACTAGAGAAGGAAACCTGTTTCAAAATTTTGTTGTTTCTTTTGAATTTTAGGACTCCAATAATTTCAAAGATGCACTCAATGTTAGACAATATGATAATTGTAAAGCGTCTTTAGGCTCTATAACAAATTCAGTTCTAACTCCCTTTATCGCTATCTATAATTTTGTAACTCTCCCTATCTCTGTCTGTAATTCAGTTGTAACTTTTGTTATTTTACTCTTTCGAAGACTCCAGTTGGTTGTAATGTTTTAGTATAAATACATTATTAATATATCATTTTTTTGACATCCAAACCATTTATTTTTTTCGTTATTTGGTATCATAGCCAAATTAAACTTGCACTTTTTTTTCCAGGTTCATAAATCCGCAAATTACCTCACCTGAAACAAATTTCTCTCCCCTCAACTTTGAAAGCAATGGCACAAATGGATCCTTTGTTATCTTCTACCTGCTTCCTTCAAGCTTGAAGGACCTAACTATCTAGGATGGCAATCGTTGTCTCTACCATTTTCCGACCAATTGTGGTCAATGATGGCTCATATAAAGCATCAATTACAGACACTTGCACAAGGTAGTTGCACCATTTATGACTATCTTCAAATTGCTAAGTGCTAAGGCTCTTACTGATCAAAGGACTGCAGTGGGTTTTGTCCTCCAATACTGTCATTTTGCACTCATTTTTAATAAGCAGAAGAATAGTCTCTCACAGAAAAAAGAGACCTCCCTGCAAACAAATTGGCCCACACCAAATACTCGAAATGATGGTTCCTCCAATGTCCCGCAGTATACACAAGCGTCAATTCCAAATCAGGGACAATATGTACTAGAAAATCGGCCCATATGTCAAATATGTGGGAATACAGGTCATACTGCTCTTGACTGCTTCCACAGATTTTATTTTTCATACCCAGGCCGACATCCTCGTGCCAAGCTTGCAGCAATGGTCGTTGAATCTAACGGTGCTTATGAGCACCAAGTATGGCATGCTGAAGGTTGGCCATTGTGATCTATATAAAGACCCATTAGAGATGAATTATGCTCCTTTACCATATGAATGGTGACAAAAGCAGTGATTGATTAGAGATTGCATTATTAGATGCAAAGCCAATAAGATGATGTCAGGTCCCATCAAAAAAGGGAAAAGCAGAACCCGAAAAAGGGAAAAAAAAACAATATAATCTAGCTATTCATCTATACATTTTAGCTTTTTATTTTTTAACTACACTTCGACCCAAGTTTAGTTTCATTTCAACCCATTAGCTATTGAGATTCTTGATCTTTTCTTTTCAATGCCAGTCTAATTTTTAAAACCCTAATTTTCCTCGTAAAGTCTCGACCACCTTGATCACTGTCACAAGTTAGCCTCCATCTGACCCCCCTTATTTCAATTTATAATTTTTGGAATATTATTTTTTTTGAAGAATGTGTGTGAAAAGGAAAATAAAAATTTTAATTTACGTGTAGTATTATTTTATAGAAAATTGTGTGATTGATAATAAGAGAGAAAAAATTATAATTTGAAATAATGGGAGCCAAACGGGGGCTTAGTTGAATTGAATATGCCTTTAATAAGAAACTAGCCCACACTTGGAAATAAAACATATCCTATCCTATCCTATCCTACATATATATAAAAGAGTGAAACTTTGCTGAACATGTGTTGCAATTTCACGCCATCTTTTTTTTCTTCATTCCATCGTTTATCCATTTTCCCACGCCATCGGCCATACCTCTTTCCTTCTCCATTTTTCCACGTTATCGTCATACCTCTTTACTTCTCCTCCATTTCTTCAGTACAATCACCCATTTCACCCAATAATACATGACTTCTGCACGATGCTGCCCTGCTTCATGAATTAAAGTTGTTCTCTTATTCTCTACCCTAATTGTAAACTTTCTCTGGACATTGGTCAGAATTTTAGCTGCCTTATTTGCCTACTTCAAGGTAATGATTTTAAGAAATGGGTGTAATCTTGAACTTATACAACCCATTCTTCTCTTCAATTCTTAAGTCTCATCTTTTCTTTTTTCTGAGTTCATTTGTATGTAAGTATGTTTTTTCGATTTTTTGTTCTTTTGAATTAATTTTCATTTTTGTTAAATTTTCATTTGATTACTGTATTTTTACGGGCATAGTATTAATTTTAATAGAAAATAACTTCAAGATGATGGCTAATCAACCGATGGAAATTGTGACGCTGGAGTAATTAGTCGGATACCAAGTGTGTGCTCTTCTTCGACTTCATTTTAAATTTTAAAATCTCTATTTTTTTTTTTTTGTATATTTCAGTTTTCATTTGTGTTTTAGGACAGTAATTTTTTTTTTTTAATAATTGAAAACCTGGCTAGGAGAATAAAAACATTTTTTTAAAAAAAAGCAAAAAAAATTATCAATAATAATAATAATAACATTTTTTTAGGAGAACAAAAAAAAACATGGCTCTTTAGCTCCGTGCATGGACAGAGCAAAATATTCCATGTAGCAGTACATGATGCTCCATGCATGCACGGAGCATTGGAGAATTTTTTTTTAATTATTATATATGCTTAGTCAGATTTTACTTTTTTTGTTTTTCTCTCTAATTTCTGTGTGAGTATCTGTTTATTAGATTTTGTTTATTGTCAGTCTGTTGTAGGCATCTTGTTTATTTTTTTTCACAGCTCCGTGCGCACACGGCACGGAGCTAATGCTGTGCAGAACACGCACGGAGCTGCTCCGTGCAAGCTGCTTCGCAACACGGAGATGCAGCTTCGTGCTTTTTTAATTTTTTATAATGGGCTTTGTTTTGGGCCCATATTTTTTTTAACATGGTATCCAATACGCACTTTAATCAGAAGGGCAAATTCAAATTTTTCGACGGAATATTACTTGCCGGTGTCGCCTCTTTTTAGGGTTCTATCTCAAAAGTATTTGCCTTTTAGGTTTTGAAGGAAAAAAAGGTTATTTTCTTAGTTCTTTTGAGAATCAAATTCAGGGGTTTTTTATTTGCTGGCTATTTATCGAAGCTTTGATTTTTCTACGACGAGATGAAGCTGCGGTAAAAATTAGATGAAGTCTCAGATAGGTGAATCGAAAGAAGAATGAAGGCAACCGGCGGCGGAACACAACCGGCCAACCCTTCGTATCTATGTTGTATGTATATGCATTTTCTTGATTTCTCCGTACAAATCCTTGTAAACATCGTAGATTCTAACATACTTTTTGGTCTTTTTCAATATACTTTTTGATTCTCATGTGTTTTTAAAAAATTAAGAACCTCCAACTGCTTTGGGAATTTTCACAGGCAAACAGAAGAAGGGCATAAACCCAGAGCTATGGCAAGCTTGCGTTGGTCCGCTGGTAAACCTGTCGACAGCTGGGTATTCTTTAGTCGGTTTCGTTTTGCCTCAGAGCCTTCTCTTCTTTCACTCAGACATCTCCCAAGGCAAGTTTTTTCAGAAAAAAATTAACTAATATTGTATCTTGATTATGATTTAAAGTCTGTTGTTGTTATACAGTAATTGCGGATTTTATTGACGTTTTAATCGGAAAAGATGGACTCTGAGAGCTATATGTTTGGACCCTATAAGATTGATTCAAAGGAAGTGTTTTACTATAAGGAGAATGTTTCAATATCGGGCAACGTTGGGCTACTAGCTGCGGCGAGGGTGTTGGAGGTTTACATACATTCTTCTTTTTTTCATTTTTGTATTTTCACTAGGGAATTGATACAATTTTCATATTAATGGCGATTAGGAATCAGAGGTTGATCACCAAACTCTCCCCTTTCTGCCCTAAATCCTGTCATTCCTGTCTCTTTTTTTAGTAGACATTTTGGTTTGTCTTCCTTTATTTTGTTTATCACATAATGAATTTTATTGAATGGTGTTGCGTTCATCTATGTGAAGGAATTAGAATTTTCAATTGATATTTGACGGTAATATTTGTTCGGTTCAATTTTGCCAGTCGTGACAGGTTGCATTTTGATTATTGAAGTTTCTCCCAGCCTCCCCTACGCCCATTGAAATAATACTCCCAATAATTATGTAATCACAGTTATCTTTCATTGCTTTACTGTGGTTTATGATTTAATGAATTTTTCCAATTCAAGCAGCTTCTGAAAATCCTTTCAAGGGAATTTTTACTGCGCTTCCCAAGCCCGGAGGAAGCGAGTTTGGTAAGTTTTACAGCCTTCCTGCTTTGAATGATCCTAGAATTGGTATGTGACTAATTTTTGCACCACTTGATTTCTACTATCCATTTTCCATTTATGTTTCATCTCCTCTTCTAATTGATATCATGAGTTTTTGGCGTTGCTGGAGACATTTTAGGCTATTCATGAGATGTCTAGATAATTTTTATCATATTGAGTGTTGATGTTTATGTTTATTTTACTTCAAAATGAATCTTACATTTCTTATCTGTGACATTTTAGGCCATTCATGAGTTGCATTTGAATTATATTCTTATGATATGTGCTTTGATGATCTGAATGCGCTCAAAGTAGTTGCTTTAATGTGCAATTTTCAAAATTTTCTCATATGAGGTGTTGTTAGATTACTCTATGACGAGACTATGGCAACGATATTAATCTCCCCTTCACATGTTTGTCAACCCATTTATTGCAATAGACTGAAAACCAATAGTTTGGGATGGAAACAAGAGGATCAAATTCATCTTGAGGAGTATGTATGATTTCCTTTATTGTATAGGTTCCAAAGTGCAATTCAAATCTTAATTTTGAAGTACTGGAACGAAGTGGTTGGTGGAACGAAAACATTGGAAACCTATTGAAACTTTTTATCTTGTTAGTTGAAGCACTCATGTTTCTTTAAGCCAATGCACCAAAACACGTAGTCTATTGCACTTCTTTTTAATCTTCAATTTTTTTTATTATTATCATTTAGCATATGTTTGGTAGGTGATTATAATTTGTTCAAATTATAAATAGATAGAAACGAGTGGTAAAATAAATGAGGAGTACATGTTGGTCCCATTTGATAAAAAGTAGGTTTGACTAGAAGTGATTGAAAAAATACGTACCACACGTGCTTTAATTCAACCTTATGCAAAAAAATTTCAATGCCTCTTCCTTTTCTTTTATTTACACCGCAATAAAGTTTACAACTCCAGTATTTTGTCTGAAAGCAACAGATGGAAATCTGTTCTAGGATTAACCGACACCTTCTTATGATGTGTAAGATACACTTATTTTGTTCCATTATATATAATCTTTGATAGAGCTTTTGCTTAAGGGGAGTGTTGTTTAGTCCTTCACTTTTAATTGTTGTCATTGTAACCCTTCGAAGCAAGCACTGGTTTTAAGCTGTGGCAAATATTAGCTTTATAGGAAATGCATAAGTATTAATTTATAGTTCCATTTTCCTGTAAGCACTACCCGTGGATCAAATGATACTAAATGCCAGATATGATAAAGTGTATTTTGCACGTATATGAGAGGATTGTTAGTAATATGGCAATACCTTTATAATGACGTCAGAGAAATCGTTTTCACGGTCCAGGGAGTGTTTTTCTTTAACGTTCGTCATCAACCAATTAATTTGGTTTGTTAGTTTTTAACATTGAACATGTATCCTTGAGCAGTCGGTAAACTTATGTACCACATATCTCTGTGCAAAGCATTAACAATGTGCGTGTGTGTGAGAGAGAGAAAAAGAGAGAGAGAGAGATAGATAGAGAGAGAGGGGGGGAGGGAGGGAATTATGATTTCATCCGAATCCAGTGGGAGAGTTGCATGCACCACTTATCCAACTGTAGTCCATCCCTATCTGTTCAGTGTTATTTACTTTGCAGTGCATCATATTTTTGGGTCTAAAACATTTGTTGTGGTAAATTATCTCTAACTTTTATTTTTGGTATGGGAACGTATAGTTACTATTTTCAATTGAGTGCAAACAGGAGAAATTTGCTCAAGAAGAAGCTAGCTGATGCTGATGTATCAGATGAAGATCAAAATTACCTATTCAAATTTTTAGAGAAGAAGGAAACTGAATATATGCGCATTCAGAGACACAAAATGGGTGCTGATGATTTTGAGTTATTGACAATGATTGGAAAGGGTGCTTTTGGGGAGGTAATGATTTTCACTGAAATATGACTGACTTGACCAAATGATAAGACCTCTATTATCAATCATTAGTTTCGCATTTACTATCTAATATTTGATATGCAAAATTTATAAATCATGTACATAATGTCAAACTTCACTTTTAAGCACACATTCTAATGGATCCAAAAGTATTATCAACAACCCATTTATAAATAAACCGTTTATAAATTCTTCCAAACGGACTTTGTACTTCAATTTTTTCCTGTACTATTTTATGACCCTCTAAAAGTTATTATTGTCACTTGGGTGTAATAGCTATATGTTTTGATGCTAAGCATAAAATCTAAGTATTATTGTCACTTCCCGTCGATTTTCGGTGATTTTCTTCCACTTTTATTTGTTTAATTCAACATGATGCTAGGCTAAATCTTTACATATTTGCGCACCATTAGGATAATAAATTGCTTATTCGTAGTGTTGGAAAACTCATGGTAGCTAGAGAACTATTATTGGGACATACGGACAATAAATATTAGAAATAATATTTGTGACGTGTATGATCATATGTGATAATCTTAAATGTCAATGCATGTTTGTCATATGATTTCGGACTAGGAGTAGAATCGTCTTGTGGTAACCATATGTTTATCATATCTTAGAAAAGAATAATAAATAAAAGTGAAATTATCGATTGTCGCAATGGCAAAAAATTTACATAGTTATTACTGGTTGAGAATTAGAATTAAGCATTGATCAGTGGCGTCAAAAATCTAATACGTTGACACATTTGATTTTTAAACCAACTTTCATTGTTTTCGCAAGTTTTAGTTATAAAAATTCGTTAGCTATTCATTCGATCTTTTTTATTACAAACACGAATTTAAATATATCAAATATATTAGAATTGATCATTATTTCATGTGGGACGATAACTCTCTCATCATGATTATTACTTGTACAACGAACCCATATGTTTGCGAAATTTTGACGAACGGTGCTTATTAACTCTAACTTTAACCTATGTTTGTCTCTTTCTTTTCTACTGCATTAAATATTAGCATCAAGTTTAGATTAAATTGATTTCATATACTTCTATAACAACTTAATCTACTTTGGTCCGGTGTAAATATAGGTGCTGACCTTTTATTCTATTCTGAAAGGGATTGCTTTTGAAGAAGAATGCAAAATTTCTGAACTTTAAGAATGATTTTTGTTTTTTGGAAATGGGATTGCTTCTAACAAAATCCATTGCTTTGAGACCTTTTTTTTTTTGTAAGTCAGTAAAGCTTGTTTAACACGGTCATCCATATTTTATAGGCTCTTCAACATCCAAAAGAAGCCCCGAGGTTACGAAAGAAGCTTTTAGCTAAAATGTTTTTTTTACTTAAGTGTGAGAAGGAAAGAATTTTATGAATAAGAGTGGAAATGTTAAAGGAATACACGAGTATTGAGGCGTTAGAGATTTCTTATCTAGTAACGATTGATTTTTTTTTGGGGGGGGAGCAATTCTTGTGAATTTGACTACATTATTACTCCTTGGAATGTACTTAGCATTTACCTTGATCGCGTCTGTTAGGTATAGAATTCTTTAATTCAAATATTTTGGTTAAAACTTTATGTGAAATAATGTTTCTGTTATATATTATTATTTTATTTCAATTATTTGTGAGTAAGAGGTTGCAAGCATAAATGAGAATATAGGAAATGCGCAAGGAAGAGCATCTCCCAATTTCAGGTTTGACACTTTTTGGAATTTATTTTTCTTCCATGTTCAGATGGTTGCTTTATTTTTTTTTTCCCTTACTTTATCACAGTTTAACTAAAGATATTAATAGTATGTTTGATTGCAAGCATGAAATTTACATGAAAAGAAAATAATTTCTAGGAAAATTGTCAATTAAAGTGTTTGATTGATTTTATTTTCAACCTAGAAAATGTTATATTTGTCAATTTTTTATTAATAGGTAAATAGGAGAGAGAGGGAGGGAGTAGATGAGAGAGAAAAAAATAATGAATTACCTGAAAAATAAAAATCTACTCTCCTCGAGGAAAATATTTTCCTTGTTTTGAAGGAAAATATGGTCATGTGACCAAAAGTAGGAAAATATTTTTCATGGAAAAAAATCAATGAAAATAGCTAAGAAGTAGGAATTTGGGTAGAAAAATATTGGCAATTAAACGTACTATTAATTTATATTAAAACTTTATCATGAAGATTATACGGCAAAATGTTTTGTTGGAGCCAGTTAGAAAATGAGTTATGTAGTATATGATAATCGCGCTTACTTGCACGAAATGTTCAAATTCTCTGAAAGTGACAATTAATTAGGAAATGAGAGATTTACTTTTATGTAAATCTTATAGGAATGTAGAAAGGTCGCCTATGAATGAATTATATCGTGTTAAATATTTGTACATATTGACATTAAATAAGTTAATTTTTTCTGAGTGGAGGCATGTTGACTATAAGCCATTGGATAAGAGAGTTCATTTGATGATTGTGCAAAAGAGACTAAAAGCTTGTTTGAGAGTAATTTTTCATCCAAAAAAATTGATCTTTTGATCGTTATTTCACTATTTCAGCTGTGAAGTTTGACTTCTTCTCTCATGAGTGGTTCTCACTTTTCTCCTAACGGTCACAAAATCAATTTTCAAAATCACTCCCAAACGGGGCCTAAGAAGAAATTACAGTAGGATATACTCGATCTTGTATTGACTAGTTTTGAGACTAATCAAATTCATCGCCTTTGTGACCAGATATGTTGGCGGTGTGTTTATCTTGAAATTGTTAAATTTGATTCTTTGAGGATATTTATATACATGAGCTGGGACCTTGTCCAAAAAAAGCTTTCTTTAAAGCTACTGATTAGCTTGGGTAATATGATATTTAATTATTTTCAATTTTTAATCGGTCCATGTTTTTCTATTTATCTTATCAAATTTAATCCATTAGTATTTAGTAGCATTTGAATATATGAAAGTGTACAGTAAATTGCAAGTTCTACCATATAAGATATTGTAAAAAAATTGGTAATATACCATCGTTTACGCTTTCTTTAATTACGACTTTATCCTCCTCTTAGCATATTCTCCTGCTTTGATCCAAAAATTGACTAAGGATAGAAGCAAGCTACAAGCATTAGCAACCGCTTTCATTTTATGGAAATGGGATCCCCCAATAGCTAGAGACAAAAGATTCATATGAGAAAACATAAGTAAACGGGCCTCCATGAGCCTCCAAAGATAAAGGTACATGAACAGCCATTTGATCCCCATCAAAATCTGCATTGAATTCCTTACAAACTAATGGATGTAAACAAATAGCATGCACCTTCACTAAAACGGGCTGGAATGCCTATATGCCTAATCTATGCAGAGTGGGTGCTCTAATCAGCAATACAGGATGCCCCTGCATAATTTCCTGAAGTATTTCTCATACAATCTGTTCTTTTTCCCGAATTTTACTCTTAGCAACTCCTATGTTCGGAGCAAGATGTTGTCTAATTAGACCATGAATTACAAATGTCTGGAAAAGCTCTATTGCTATTTCGCGCGAGAATCGACATCGATGTAATGAAAGTGAAGGACCCACGACGATGACGGAACGACCTGAATATTGGGTTATCCTTTTTTTGTAAGTTACTATTTAACCTCTTTATTTGAAATTTTAGAGTGATGCTATATAGCCACATTCAGTTGCAACCCTAGTTTAGCTGATCCTAGATGATTGGCTAAATGAAAGGTAAAATTAAATGACTTATTTAATTTCATTTATTATTTAATGTCAAGTTAACGCCACCTAGACCGGGGTTGTAACCCTAGTGGGGTTAATAGGATTACTCAAAATTATATGGTTGGGATATTGCTATTGCTATTGTGATTTTTTTTTTTTTTAAATTGTGTGATTGGAAAAGAAGAAATTTTTTTGGGATTATGTATAATATTATTTTATTGAAAAATGTATATTTGATGAGAAGATAGAGAAAAATGAATTATAATTTTAATAGTGCCAAACTTGGGTTAAATAATGTATGCAAGTTGCAGAGCTTGTAAAGATTGTTTTCTCAGATGGTAATAGTCATTATCTTTAATTATACCATTTTTTCTTTAATATTTAATTGTATTTATTATGCTGGGAATTTTTGTGACTTGTATGGTGAAAAGCATTTGGCAGATCAACTTTTTTTTTCGAAGTACGTCAATTTTGTTTGGCAATAGTTCATCGTGTTCCCATCAAACTTCTACGCCTAATGCTTTGTTTACTAACTCGATTAGAATCAATTTTCCTAGGGATGTGTTAGCTGTTGAACAAGTCAATTTGCTGTATTATATATGTAGGTTCACTTTTAGTACTCATCCGGAGACCAGATATATAATAAAAATATTTTTGATCTTCATGTTACCAATAATATAAATGATTGTTTTAATGTATCTTGTTATTGTAAAGTAGAGCACTTTGTATTGATATTTGCACATTGAGACATCCAAGGTCATTTATACTTAAGTCGGCCTTTATAATTTGTTGTGACGTTTCTGTACTTTTTCAAAAGGTTAGACTGCGATTTTTCTCTCATTGTTGTTATTTAAATGCTAATGTAATGAAAGAGGAATGTCTCATCCAAGGTCATTTATACTTAAGTCGGCCTTTATAATTTGTTGTGACGTTTCTGTACTTTTTCAAAAGGTTAGACTGCGATTTTTCTCTCGTTGTTATTTAAATGTTAATGTAATGAAAGAGGAATGTCTCACCTTTACTTAATGAATTTCTTCTTTTCCCTTTTTTAATTAAATTTAATATAATGAATTATGAAAATTGGCTCATATGCACCAGCCTTTGTGCAAGGAAGGCATGTGTGAAAGCTAAGATGAATATATTTTCGTTTGCTTATTTTCATAAATTTATAATTATGCTACTCTTCAAATACACTCTTAAGCACTTTGAATTTAACTCGTTGAGTTGTTGTTTATCTATCATTCTCCAAAAATTCTTTTTTTTTTTTTTTTAAAACCCATTTTCAATCATACATTATCATAATGAAATATTTTGCATGTGAATTCAAAAATTTTTCTTATCTTTCAACCATACATTATCAGAAAAATTACTATTTCAAAACTTATTCTCCCAAAAAATTCTTTCTAATAGGCATCAAATAAGTGTTGATGTTGATATAATAAGATTGTATTGTTCTTTTGTTGTCAAAATATAGATTCTAGTGTTTAATTTGAATTTAAATAATTAATATATTATACTTTTACAATTGGATAAAATATTGAAAGGTGCTTTAATTCAAAAATTATGGGATTTGTAATATCATGCATTCTTTGTGAAAAATGGTAAAGCTTGATTATTTTGTACTTTTACGTTACAAATGACATAGGTTCCGAATAAGGTGTCTCCAAATGCAATGGTTTTGTTAATAGTTGGATGTCACATTGTGGTTCCATTGTGGTAGATGACATAGCTCCAAAATTCATAGAGATTATGGAGAGTCGACTAAAATGCTTTGAAAATGACCCAAATATTGAAGATAAAGAGTCCGTGTGTTCGTTGTTTTCCAAATTGTATCCATCTATTGTTGTAGTAAATTCTTTAAATTGATTTTAATGTATTCATTCATGGAGTACTTTACATTTGTATCGTGACATCAATTTGCTTGATTATGTTAGGAATCTTAGTTCATAGTAGTGAATTTATTAACTTTAAAATGATAGATTGTTTATTTTTTTATTCAATTAGTCACGTGCTTGGAAACATGTCATGTTGGAGCAATGTTCAAGTTATGAACATCTTGTATTCAGGAAAGAGATGTTATGTTTTCATCAAGATATTCAATAAATATCTCTCGTCTATGGATAAATATTTTTTTCTGAATACGAGGTGTTCAGAGCTTGGCCATTGCCCCTAACATTATATATTTTCAAGTATCAATTGAATAAAAATAAATAATCTATCATTTTAATGATAGTGAATTCGCTGTTATAAACCAAGGTTCCTAGCATAATCAAGTAAATTAATAATTCTTATTGATTTCACGACACAAATGTAAAGTGGTTCATGAATGAATACATTAAAATTCATCTAAAGAATTCAATTGACAGATGCTTTTATCAATTGTATACAATTTAAAAAACAACGAATGCAGACTCTATCTTTAATATTTTGGTTGTCTTCAAAGTATTGCAGTTGACTTTCCATAATCTCTATGAACTTTGGAGCTATGTCTTCGACAAAAGTGGAACCCCAATGTGTCGTAAGACTATTGACAAATTCATTATATTGGGGGTAAAAGAATTAGACTTTACCATATTTAACAAAGAATGCATGATGTTTCGAATCCCACATTTTTTTAATTAAAGTGCCTTCCAAGGTTTTATCCAGTGGGAAAAGTATAATATATTGATTATCTAAATTCAAATTGGATACTAGAATTCATGTTTTGACAACGGAAGAACTATACAATCTCATCATATCAGTATCAGCAGCTATTTGATGTTTATTAGAAATAATTTTTTTTGGAAAAAATGAGTTTTGGAATGGTAATTTTTATTTTTGATAACATTGTTGAAAGGTAATAAAATATTTTATTGTGAGAATGTGATTGAAAGTGAGTTTTAAAAAAGAGTTTTTTGGGGAACGATAGACAAATAAGAGTTAAATGCCAGTAATCACAGCTTCAAAGTGTTCTAGTATTTGGGAATGATATCATTATAAATTTATGAAATTAAGTAGATAAAGATATTTTTATCTTGGTCTTTTCACATGCCAAAGGTTGATGCATATGGAAGCCAATTTTAATAATTTATCATATTAAATTTAATATAAAAGAAGAAATTTACCAAGTAAAGGTAAGACATTTCTCTCTCATTACAATATCATTTAAATAATAACAATGGAAGAAAAATTGTGGTAGAACCTTTTGAAAAGGTACATGAAATTAACGACAATTTATAAATGTTGACTTCAGCAGAGACGACTTTTGATATCTCAATGTGTAAAATCTCACAACAAACTACTCTACTTTACAAAAATATGGTACATTAAACAATTATTTATATTATTTGTAACATGAGGAACAAAAACATTTTTATTATGTATATGTATTATAAGTGAAACTGAGTATATGATACAATTGATTGGTTTGTTTAACAGCTAACACATCCTCAGGAAAATTGATTCCAATCGAGTTAGTAAACAAAGAATTAGGTGGAGAAGTTTAATGGGAACACATGAACCATTGCTGTACAAAATTGATATACTTCGGAAAAAAAGTTGATGTGCCAAATGCTTTACACCATACAAGCCATAAAAATTTCCTGCATAATAAATACAGTTAAATATTAAAAAAAAATGAATGGTATGATTCAATATAACGATTGTTTCCATCTCAGAAAAACAAGCTTTGCAGTGTGTATTATTTAGCTTTTGTTTGGGCCTATTGAAATTATAATTTTTTTCTCTATCTTCTTATCAACCATATATTTTTTAATAAAATAATATTACACGTTATCCTAAAACTTATTTTCTTTTTAAATCACAGAATTAAAAAAAACACTATTCCAACCATTAAAATTTCGAATTATGGGGGCTAAATAGTGACTTACTAAAAATGGATAACCAAATACAAAGGGTGTATAATCAAAGCAGGAGGTTATGCTAGAAGAAGAGTAAAGTCGTAATTAAAGAAAATGTAAATGACCTGATATGTTAGAACTTGTCATTGAATGCACAATTCCATGTATTCCCATACTAGTGAGTACTAACGGATTAAGTTCGATAAACTAAATAAAAAAAATGGATCGGTAAAAAATTGAAAATAATAGAATATCATCTTACCCAAACTAATTAGTAGCTTTAGAAAAAACATTCTTTAGACAAAGTCTCAGTTCATGCATATAAATTTCCTCAAAGAACCAAATTTAACAATTTCAAGGTGAATATATTGCCAACATATTATCTGGTTACAAAGGCGATTAATTTGATTGGTCTCAAAATTAGTCAATACATAATCGGATATATCATGCTGTAATTTCTTCTTATTCTCTTTTGCAAAATCATCAAATGAACTCTTTGCACCAATGACTTGTAGAACCCGAACTTTTTCGAGATCGAGGTTAGAATGCCTCCACTCAGAAAAATGAACTTATTTAATGCTAATATGTAGAAATGTTTAATGGCGGCCTTTTTTACATTTCTATAAAATTTACATTTTATGTAAATCTTCCATTTCCTGATTAATAATCACTTCCAGAGTATTTGCACATTTTGCATAAATAATAATTGCGCGATTATTATCCACTGCATATAGGGGTGGGCGCGGGTCGGTTCGGTTCGGTTCTCTTTAGAACCGAATCGAACCAAACTTTTCGGGTATCTAGTAAATGGAACCGTCGGGTCCAAATATAATTATAGAACCGTTCGGGTTCGGTTCCATTCGGTTCGGTTCGGATCGGTTCGGTTCCGTTCGGTTCTGTACCATAATTAAATTTTTTAACATTTATAACAACGTTATATAAATACGACTAATGATACATTTAATAGTTTTGGAATGTCAGAGATTAGTAAACTACCTTGTTCAAATGATCGCTACGATCAAAGCTTCAGTCGGGGAAAGTCACGGTTTCGATCGGAGGTCAGAGTGTCGGCCGACGATTGTATAAGTTTTGGAATATTAGATAGACTGCAAGAGTGAGTGCGAGAGTCGAGACAACGTTATGCACTTTATTGTAGGTGTTTAGGGTTATTTAGTGGATTTGATCTTGTTTGGCTAAGAAATGAAACAATAAAATGGGTAATTGGGCCAAAAATTAAAAAATTAGAAATGAAACAAATTATTGGGCCAAAAATTTGGATTTAGAAATCATTAATTTGTTAATTTGTTTAGAAAAAATTAAAATTAAAATAATTTGATTTACTCAATATAAAAAAAATTAGAAAGATTCGGTTCTTCGGTTCTTGGTCTAGAACCGAGAACCGAACCGTACCCGTCGGTTCTCAATTCAGATACCCGTTCGGGTATTTAATTTGACAAGAACCGTCGGGTTCGGATCGGTTCGGTTCGGTTTCGGTTCGATCGGTTCGGTTCGGGAGATTTGCCCAGCCTTAACTGCATAGCTCCTTTTCTAATTGGCTCCAACAAAATCTTTTACTATATAGTCTTCGTGATAAAATTTTAAATAGAAGTTAATATCTTTAGTTGAATTATGATAAAGTAATGGAAACGAATAAAACAACCAACTTAACATTAAATAATAAAAAAAAAAGAATAAATTTCAAAAAGTGCCAATCCTTAAATTGAGAGATGCTCTTCCGCCACATTAAAGAAGCTTGAGCTTCTTGCGCATTTTCTATATTCTTATATATGCTTGTGATTCATAAATAATTAAGATAAAATAATGATATATAACATAAACATTCCATCCTACATATAAAAGAGTCGAAGAGTTAACGGGTTTCAAGATGTCAATAGTTGAGTAGTTCTCACTTTGTGTGTTTGACCTGTTGATTAGTGGTGTTTTTTAAAAATATTTTTTTCATTCTATCTGTTGGTTGTATCCTTAGTTCTAATATTCCAGTTAAGCAAAAGATCATTTGTTACATAAAGAACTATTTAAGTGATTTTTGTTCTTATTGAATAATAAGAGGCTACATCATAAGTTTGAGTTACATAGATGAGTAATATTGTTCATACTATTAGGCATTCTTTTGTGGTGGGAGGGAAAGAAGCACTCTCATTCACAAATCCTTTATCAGCTCCTCAAGCAACTGTAGTTTTTTGGTTAATTTAATTGCATCTTCTTTTATGCATGTTTATTTGTTAATGTTAGCTGTCAATTGCTTTTGTCGTTTTAGTAATTCTACTTTCAGTAACCTTTGGTCTATTTCCTACTACTGGATTGAAATTTTTAATTATTACATTGTGTCAAGTTTCGAATTGTTTTTTCAACAATGTCATCGTGGAGTATTACGCTAGATTCCTATCTTATGATGATTTCGATATTCCTTTTCCAATTGTCATGCTATTATCAATATTAAGGTGATAATTACAGATAGGTTTGATCATTGACGACTTTATATGAGAAGACCGATTGTCAACATGGCCCATTGTTGAAATTGGTTCTACCATGAAATGTTGTGCCCAGTGCTCTAGGGGTGCTACTGATCAGTCCTTACAACATGTGATGTCAATCTTCTATTGATTTGTGACTTTGTTTAAAGCTACAACACTTTTTACATTGCAGATGTTGTTTGTTCTTTTCTGATAACAGTGATTCTTCCTATTTCTTAAAATTATTCTGAATGTTGGTAGTATCTATTGTTTTAACAATTTCAAAAAGTAAGTTCTTGGATTTTTTGCTAAGTTAATAATATATAATCGGGCAAGCCAAAAATGAGAAATGATTGCTTGTTCTCTAAGTAACTTTAACAATATTGCCTAACTGATTAGCTGATCATATTCTATTAACTATTTGTGTTTACAGGTTGAGAATGTTAAGCAACATTGTTTTCCTAATGCTTTTAATTGTCCCATGCTGGAAGAGAATGACTTCAGAAATGACAGTGTGAGTTGCTTTTGATTTCGTTTTATTTTTAGGGCTAGAGAAAGTCTTCCTATTATTTCACACAATTACAAAAATCTATAGTTCTATGAGAGCCATATGTGGTGTTGGTGTGGTTAAGGGATTCGGAAAGACCCTGTACATGACCAAGGGTGGTGGTGCTAATGTAGTAGCCTACAGTTACACCAAGGGTGATGCCCTAGGTGCTGAAATTGTCGTTACCTCTGTGCTCGTTTACAATATTTTCTCTACTACTGATGCCAAACATAAAGCTAGAGACTCACTAGTTCTTGTAAGCATTCCGCCTGTCTTTGTAAGCTTGTTTCTCTTGACATTATTGATTAGACTGAAGCGAATATAAATCATTCTTCATATTAGGTATGATTAAATGTGATTGAGCTTGAACAAGGATTGTCTTCTGTATATATAAGAATCTCTGTTTAGGTTTGGATTTGAGTTTATGTATATTCTATATATTCATTTTACTCTATTTACGACATTTCTTGATTACTAAGATAAATCAATATCTTTGGCTGATGAGTGTGTGTTAATATAAGTGGTTCCTCGCCTATCATATTCTCAAACGTCCTTGTTCGGAGCATATTTGGCTAAGCTTAAGCTTTACTTGTATTTATTAGGTAAATAAGTAAGTTGTGTAATAAGCATATTTTTTATTGGTCAAGGTTGTAACTTGTTATTATTTGAAAGTAAGAAGGGTAAACGCGTTTGTAAATAATGTGCATTTTTAAGCGTAGCCAAGTATTCAAAGAGTTATTATTTTCCATGATTTTAGCTATTTTTGTTTTGTTTTCTAGTGTTGATTTATGTATTTTATTTAATCGGTCAAGATGAAGATGTAAGAGAGGTTGAATACAGAGTATGGAATCCTTTCCACTCGAAATTGGTAGTTGCCATTCTTGGTGGAGTCAATGATATTTGTCTAATATTTTATTTATATCTATTACCCTGATAAGGTGTGTGTTTTTGTCATTAATGTTGATGCATTTTATATATCCAATAATCTTATCTGCACAATTTACTTTCTGGTCTATTTTGTTTTGAAACCTGGTGCTTGGTGTCTTTTATCTAGGAGCTACGTCAAGAACAATTATTTCTCATGTATCTAATTTTGTTGGCCCTGCAAGTAATTTTCTTTGTCGGAGCTCTATCATTTTTCCATATATTTCATGGAGTGGTGTTTATGAAATCCTGTTTGTAATTATGTTGTTTGCAGACTGGAATGGTATACGCAATGAAATTTTCTCACATAAGCAATAGGGACTTGGTCAACATGGCGAATAAGAGGGTGAATGTTATTCCTTTTTTTAAATCATTTTTGCAAACCACGTTGAGAAAGACCAACCTCCTATGTACCGTACTCTTTTTGTACCTCGAAAGGGAGAGTGGGACCAAGCATGTTCCTGCCAGAAGTAGAACCCCGTATTTCTTCTATCGTGATTAATCTTCAATCTACTCATCCATCTACAAATAGTGTGTGTGCATAATTTGAACAAGGTGTTGCTCATGCCATTATATGAGGGAAAATAGACTTGGAAAAGGAACCATGGCCAAGCATTCAGAAAGTGTCTAGAGTCTTGTATGAAAGATATTGGAGCCACATCCTAAGCTTCGACTCACTACAAAACAATTTCTGGGTAAAATATTGTTCGCGTTTGCTAAGTTATTTAATAAATATAAAATCCTTTTCATTATGCTGTAAATCAATTTGTTCGGACAATCTTCATTCTCTAATCTTCTATTTCAGGCTCTGTGCAATTTACCTATTTCTTGGAGCTTTAGTGTTCATTTTTTGCTTGGTTGCCTCTTTACCGAATCTTGACATGTTTTCTATTTTTAAGTTTGTCAACACAATTCTTTTGCTCTTGATTTGTGTTCCATTATGCATGTATAATTGATTCCGCTCCATAGTAAATATAGTTTCAAGGAAAACTTAAAAATATCTAATAATTTAAAAATTTTGTAGTTCAACAAAGTGTCTAGCTTGTTATTTATTGCTAACAATAAATATCAAACAAGTTGGCCATGAGAACCATGCTCCATAAGGGGAAAAAATGATCTTTGCACTATTAGATTGGTGGAGTAGTTGTTGTACTCAATGTTTTTAAAATCAACTCGGTCATCAACTCGAAAAAGAGAAAAGGGTCAAGGGTTGAAAGGTCGAACTAGGGTCGAACCGGGATTGAACCGGTGACTTTCATAGAATCAAAATGAAAAATATACATTTATAAAGAAGGGAAAAAATGAAAA